CCCAATACATACAATACAAACCAAATAAAAGAATTACTTGCGCACAATCCCAAATTTCTATGCATAATTAAATAACTGGTGGTTTTTAGTATCACTCCAATGGTTATTGTAAGCTCATCTTCCCTTGGGAGACAATGCGTGGAGAAATTTAAAGATTCCCAACAGAGACTCAAGTTCCCTTTAAGTGAGCATGAACCAGCATTTAAACTTTTCTCTATTAAGTCCATAATGCGCTGAATTTTATAACTAACGAGGTATGATTCCAACGTAATGGAGTGTAATTTGTGTGCAGGGACCCTCTGTCTTTCTGGCTGACACTGGAACACCTAATTGTGAGAATAGAAGTGTTGCCTCCTGAATGCTATGAGTAGTAGTGTACCTTTTTTCTAGAGGGATGTAGTCATCCAACTAAAGCTCAAGTGTAGGGGAAGCATGTCAAACTCAAAGCCTGGCACGGGCCACATAAACAAGGTTTAAGTTTATGTAGGCCGCAAAAAAAACCCAAAAAACCTTGCATTTTCAAAGAAACAGGTTTATTTTAAAAAGTACAGTATATAAAAAAAAAAAAACAAAAAAAAACTGCATCGCACTCTACTAAATCCCAGTTCCCCCCCTCTACTAAACCACAGTAACCCCCTCTACCACCCTGTGCCAAATCTGATCTGACACACGCACACATACATACTCACTGACAGACACACACACGCACGCACTCACTGACAGACACATACACATTTACACATTCTTGCACTCACATCATTTAATTTATTGTTCCCTGGTGTGGGGATCTTCTGTCTAGAGATCTCCTTTCTGCTCCTCACTGCTCCCTCGCGCAGTTTAGTGATGTCATATTCCGGTGCCTGGCTTCACAGACGGCGCGATCGAGGGAGCAGGAACATTGAGCTCCCTCGCTGTAACCACTGTCCCTTCCTCCCTGGCCGGGTCAGTTTTAGCACAGTAGGCACCTGCAATGTGGGGAAAGCAGGTGCCTACTCTGCTATAACACCAGCATGTACTCGCGGCTCGCCGGGCTACAAAGATGGTCCTTGTGGGCCGCGAGTTTGACATGCTTGGTGTAGGGCATCTGTATGAGTTCAGTAAGAGCCAGCACAATGTCTCTGAAAAAATGTCAAAAAGCATTGGGCTACTAAAAGGTGAGTATGGTAGCCAAATAATTCTGACTGTTCCACTTTACCCAGATGCCTCAGTGAGCGATACATGGGTAACAGTTGTGAATGCAATTCACAATATCAGTCTCTCCCAACCATGACCCAAGACCTGCTTTTAGTATTACTTATTTTGCATGATCTATGGTGGGATAAGATAATTCAAACTAGAAGATGATGAAGAATGAGGAGAAATCTATGATTGAGTTTTGGTTTTTTTATATAGAAGAATTTATCTATGATAATGATAACTGGGTTTGAACATTACATGGAAAAAGGGGGATCCTGAAGTGGCTGATTCTGAACCTATTCTCGATCTCTTTTGCTTATCGAGTATCCACTGCTTGTGGATCTCTGACTGCAAGTTTTTAATCCAATTTGCCAGTGGGGAAAGAGCAAGAAAGAAGCCCAGTTTGGAAACCCTGTGAAAAACAGATATAAGAACCTATAAACTCTAAATTAGCAGATGTTAGTCGTTCCATTGGGAATAACCTGTTAGGATACATGGCCCTGGTATGTGTGCTCTAAAACACAGAGAGCAGACATGTAGTAATCTGCAGATGCTGAAACGGTAGCTTCCTACATTAAAGTTGTTACACACCTGCGCCCTGCCCTACCTAGTTTGTGTTTTGGTTCTTTTTGAGACTGTTTAACTGTGGAAGTTGCAGCAGCCTGGCTAGTAGAAAGGAAAGAGGCATCAGTGAAGCACTAATTAGTAGTGTGAGAGGTGGATAAACAAATAACACAGGCCAGAAATTTGAGTACCGCAAAACAGTTCAGTAGATAGTTGCCTCCAGTCAGTTTGGACATTAAATTGAGCTAATGCAACTGCTGCTCGAGGTCATAAGAAATGATGGTAATCGTAAAATTCATGACCACCTTATTTGTAACAAAGTCTACCAATTTGTGTAGATACAGATCCAACTTTTCCCTACAGTAAAGAAATTGAGAACAGTTGACACCCCTTAAAAGCCCAAAATCCAAGACAATCTCATGGATGGACAGTTTTTATTAAGGTTAGGGTCTCTACCTTTTAAGACTACTGACAGGTCATTGTATGTATAAGACATGTTTTCTATTATTTCTTGAGAAGCAATCAGTAATGACACCAAATAAATATATTACCCTTCTAGAAAGATCATACTGAAAGTAGGAGGGACAAGAGGTGCTGGTGTAATCATGTTTGGGGAGGGACAGATGATCGCCCTGCTCTAAAACATGATACATGCCAAGAAGACAAATAACTTATTAGTCATAAAACACTTTAAAACAAAAAACCCTACACTTAACTGGCAAGCTACTTTGTGCCATCAGGCAGAATACGAACTATGAAGAATGATGAGTGCAGCCCCAACCGACAGGCAGCTTGAGAGGCTCTACTTTGTGTCAAGCCACTGAACGTTGTGGCAGGGTGATGACCTTTTACATGTGAATTTTACAAAAAAAATGGCTGTGACAGGTGAAGTCCTGTGTATAGACAGATTGAGGCACTAGCAGTAGTTGGACCAAGGGGCGATGTGCCTTTGTAATGTGGCTTGGTGTTGACCTTGCACAGACCGCTAACTATGGGGAAGAAGCTTGGATCTTAAACTATGGGATACCTTAAACTTACTAAAAGGCCAGTTCAGCTAACCCTATACACTCAGGAATTAGCAAAGTATAATGTAAAAGTACATGTTGTAAAATGGGATCACGGAGCAAAACGTACCTACATTTGTAAAGTTGAGGACACAAAATTATTTCTGAAACTATGTAAGGTAACGGAACCTTGCTACCTGAATTAAGAAAGTGAAAATAAATAAATTCACTTAAAGCGAATAGGAACCATAGTAAGGAAACAGAAAATATGATTGAATGGTGCAAAATTTCATATTGTTAGTGCAGTGTAAGAACCGATCAATTATAGTTCATCTAATATTACAAACCTTTATTTCATGTTTTCATATTTCTTTGTGTAAAATTATACAATTATTCTGTGCATTTGTAATTTATTTTATAAGCAAAAGCTTAAAGAAACACTCTAGCTTGCCCTTCGCTTAGTTCACAGTCAGGTTTCAAAAATGTTTTTTCCTCACTTGTGCCATTACAAAGTGAACCTATGTCATTTGCATATCAGACTGATCCCACCCAAAAAGGGCATTGAGAACCAAAATACTGGCAAGTCCTCTCTGCACAAAAGATACAGCAACCTTTGACAATTTTGGGTTTCTTTTGGCCTCATCAGGTGTAGTTGGTACCCCTCCAAGCACAGTGAGCACGGAGTCCATATCTGGATTATCCTTTTAACTTTGTGAGAGCCGAAGCAATTGCTTTGCAACAAAGCCTGAGAATATAAAAACTCTGGGATTAGAAATAGAGAAAAACTCAGCTTACCTGCAGTTTACAATCTAACCACTTTAAAATGTATCAGAAAACTGCAAAATGAAACACATTTCTGGGTTTTGATATATTTTTTTTTTGTCTGGGGTACACAGAATGCACACTAAATAATTTCTTAGCAGGTATTTCTGTCCATGCAAACATTTATCAACAGCAGTCTGCACATGTCCAGTCCTTGCTGGGTTAAACATAAGCTTAGTGTACATAGATAATTAGGATGAAACGCCTCTCACCATGGCTGCAGTGACATGCAATGCTTCAATATTTCATCCTGCTTTCATAGTTTTAAAAGTTGAGAAACATGTATGTCAGCTGTACAGACAGTGTCATTCAAGCTCATCAAACTAGACACTTGGAACAGCTGTAATTGACAAGTAATGCCAATTTTAAATGCCATAAAGCTCTATGATTGAGTATCCTCAGACAAGAATATGACACCTCAAGACCTAAACGAGTGCTCTATAAATATGTATCAGCTAACTCACAGATAATGCAGACACTGGCATAAACCAATGTACAAAATCACTTGAGAAATGTGGGCTAAAAATCTATAATACTCTGTGATGCCTCTCAATCTTACATCTCCAAGCAGGCAAAAAAAATTTAAAAAAAAAATCTTACAAGTGATGGAGCTCCCGTACTCCGACTGAGTATCTCCACCAAGTCCCCTTCCTAGCCGCTTTCAGGGACCCTGGAACACTTCAGCCCCAGTCACCGAAGCTTGACTGGGGTCTCTCAGGAACTCTTCAACCCAACCAGGCTGCAGCGCTCTTCTTCCAGGCAGGTATCGTCCCCTCTTCCTTTGCCTCTTCATCTCCTCTCTCAGGCAGGTATCCACACTTTTGCCTAAACTGTGATCAGCTACTGCCTTTACAAATGCACTTCTGGCACTCTGTCTTTGCTCTCATTTTAACTTGTCCTGGGACTCCGAAGAGTCTGTTATTGTAATCTCTGAATAAATAAACCAGGACACACCGTTCCCAAAAGGAACTAACACACACAGCTTTATTTTTAACTCATAATATGCAAATTAACAAGCCTTGCTATCCAGGTAGTGCATATAGCTGTTTCAGGATCTCTTCAACCAACAGATGACGCTGTACAGCAAGCATGTCAAACTCGCGGCCCACAATGGACATCTTTGCGGCACGGTGAGCTGTGAGTGCATGCTTAGTGTTAAAGCAGAGTAGGTACCTGCTTTCTCCACATTGCAGGTGCCTACTCTGCTAAAAGTTACCCTGCCAGGGAAGAGAGAGGTTCCTGGCGGTAAACTGCACGCGAGGGAGCAGTGAAGAGCTGGAAGAAGATCTCCAGATAGAAGAGGGCCCACACCAGCTCCCAAAGATAGGGAGCAATAAATAAAATGATGTGAGTGCAAGAATGTGTAAATGGGTGTGTGTCTGTCAGTGAGTGTGTGTCTGTCTGTGTCAGTGAGTGTGTGTGTGTGTGTCTGTCCGTGAGTGTGTGTCTGTCAGTGAGTGTGTTTGCCAGTGAGTGTGTGTCAGTGTGTGTGTGTGTGTTGGTCAGTGTTGCATTGGCTGCGACTGGACAGTAGAGTACCTGGAGGTGCATGGAGGCACGCAACGCCACGTCACATTCCGACATGACATAGACGTGCTCCACCTTCACAGGGTTTCAAGAGATAACGAGAGGATTAGATTTGGCACAGGGTGCGAACAGCGCCATTTGGGGTATACAAGAGGCCGGTCTCCGGGGACTGGGATTTAGTAGAGGGGGATGCGTTTTTTTGTTTTTAATACTGTACTTTTCAAAATAAACCTACGTTTCAATGAAAAAAAATTTTGTTTTGTTTTGCGGCCCACAAACTTAAACCTTGTTTATGTGGCCCATGCTAGAATTTGAGTTTGACATGCTTGCTGTACAGGCTCCACATCCAAATCCTATTAGTTAGTTAATAAAATAAGCAGGACAGGAGAGTGCACAAAACATGTAACACCAAACAGCCACATTACACTTACAATGCACCCACAATGGGTACAGTGTGACTTAAACATAGGAGTCGTCCATTAACGTGTCAATCTTATGCGCCCAGTGATGGTGACTGCCACTTTACATACATAGTATCAAACAAAATCCAACATTTGTATCTCTAAATTTTATTTTGAGAATTTTTTTACACACACACACAAAAAAAGTATAAAACATATAAACTTATGTTTATGTTGAGAATTAGTGTTTTAAATGCAACATAAAACATATAAAAATGTAATGTGCAGGTTTAACAGGTCTAGGACTTAAACAAAGAACATATTTACAAAGGTTTACAAATTTAGTCACCAGTAAAAGGTTTTGGTGAGGAAATTAGCTGCAGTATTAATCCAGCTTCCACGACAGTTAACCTTTAATCCAGGGCATGTTATAGCTCTTTCTATATCTTTCTGAGGGCTCTCCTCTTCAGGTAGGTAGTCTGGCAAGCAGGAGTTTTTTTCTACAGGCAAATCTATTTTTGGAAGAGGAACATAAACCTATGGACAAACAATAAATCAGTGTATTAATTTGGACTGCCAAGAACATCACATTGTTTCCATGCTTGAACAAAGGTGCAAAGTATGTGTGGAGAGGGGAAAAAATACTCACTGCCACCCACTAAAAGATCTTGGAGACCTCCCTCATGGCAGCAGCACTCCCATGTCTCACCTTGGTGGTTAACCAAGACAAGCTGCGATGAAGTTGGTTGACTGAATGCAAACATTAAACTCTCCAGTCAAACCAGGAGAAGTAGGTAATTTGCTCTGAGCTTGAGAACATTGAATGCAAGCCTTGCCTCCTTTAGTGACCCAATTCCCCCAAGCCCTTTGTAGGCTTTGTAGTTCAATTACTGCTCCCAACTGGTTAGGTTTCGTCCATAACAACAACCAACCACTAGGGTCTCCTGAAGAAACACCTGTTGAGGGAGTGCACTGATTGATCCCAGCTGTGAGAGATCATTAGAATTCCCACCCCACTGGCAGAGAGAGAACCCCTGAGAGGGTCACAAGTGGAACTTCTGAAATGGAATCGCAAAGGACATCACCATGAATCACAAAATCTCCATGCAATACACTGCCAAAGCATAGGCACTGAGAGCCAGTAAAGAGTAATTTGTCCTTCATTTCCATGTAGTGCACAATAGACTCCAGTAACTAAACTTAAATGTGAGGCATCAGCGAGCTCTAGGGGAGGTAGATACATCACCCATGCTAGAGGGTGAAAGAGGGAGACTAGCAGGTGATAAGCAGGTTGCAAGAGGCTACTCGTACCTGAATATAATCAGGATTGATCAGAATATGAAGGTATGAATCCTTCAGATCCACAGTTATCATGAATTGGCCTTTCTGCATTGAAGGCATTACAGAGAGAATTGAGGTTCAGGTTGACAGACATATGACAACTGATACAAAGGGAGATGTCACACACTTGTAGGACTGGAAAAGACCAAAAGGTGCCTCATAGACCAGAATAGCATATTTCCTCTAAGGACACACACAAATAGGCCAGGCACACTGTTAAAATGGTCACTCCAAAACCCCTTAACAACTTTAGATTGCTGAAATGCTTTGTGTGTCAAGAGTATGTCCTATTTTTTCATTTTGCAAAAAGTGCAGATTTCAATAGAAATTGGTTTTGTTAGCTCATTGCAGCTGACCTCAAGAGGCAGCAATTGTCCAAAGCACCTGACTTAACAAAGACTTCTCATTGAGCTGTATTGGGAAGTCTGTGATTGACAGCCATAAAAAGTCTGGGCAGAGTTAGAAGAGGAGGGCTTGCAAAGGCAGACAAGAGAACTGCAGGTTTTGCAAACAGATTTTATATATATATATCCCAATTTAAAAAATTTCCATAATTAAATGCATACACAGTTTCATTTGGGGCATATCTCCTAAAGAGTGATTTTTATTTATTTATTTAGGCAGTGGAGTATCCTTTTAAAATTCAGATTTACTTGGACCAATTCCGCCTTTATCAAGCCCAACAAATAGCACTAGAGTTATAAAACAAGGTAATACCAAGTAGGTTCCATTTATCTCCTCATATTTCGATGTACAGGGACATTTGATCACAGTGAAATTACTGACATATTTGGCCCCTAACATTTAACTTTAAAAATGTATATTATTTGCTTGAAAATGTATAGCTGAACAGTTACTACCATTTTTCTTTCTTATTTCCATATCCTCATTGTCATAATGGATGAGTAGACATACAGAAGAATTATTTGCAGTAAAACTTGTAGAAGTCCATTATAAAATTTGCAGTGGAATGTTTGCATGCCATACATTTTAGGTGCTGTAGAAGATTGTACATGAATTGCTATAAAATAAAAAACATAATATCACTGCTGAGAATGTGTGCATTTCAGTAAATAACAAGCATACCTCATTTCCAGATTCATTCTTAATCACTTGCTGTGCTTTTAAAACTTTTGTTTCTGCAATTGCAGATGCTAAACACTGTGAAACAAAGAGAGAATGTCTTAAAATACATATGACTCAAATGAATAAGAAAGGGTCGCACTTGTCATTTAAAGATTTACACTTCGTGCTTCATTTTCAAAATAGGTCCTGACACACAAGCTATAGAATTAAACAGATTTTAATAGGAACAACGTGCTAAAGACTCTAGGGATGCAGTCGAAAAGTTATTTGATCTGTTCCTATGAAAATCTACTTTATTCCACGGCCTATTACATACATAGGAAGCATCCCTCAGCATTACCAGTACAAGAATTCACCATGAAGCAAATCCATGCATATAACTTATGAAAGCAAACTTCTAAAATCCTATCGTGAAACACTATACAAGTAGAAAACAGTACAGGAAAGATATAATAAAATTTGTCATTTGTCCCTATAGGTTATTGGAGATTTTATTATCCATGACAGATATAAGTGATATTTCAGAATGGTTTCTATTCTAACCCATTAAAGAGAGGATAGAAAAATTACAGTTTATTCTAAAAGCCAAGAATGTAACTACCAGTGTGTTTAACTTGTTTTAAATAATATCATTCAAAGTGGCTCTGTCACCTCAAACTTGTGATCTATGTCTCTTAGAAACATAAGACAAATGTTGACCAAGGACGGAGCTTAAGGCAAGCTCCACTATTTTGACAAAAGGAAGTTAAGCTAATGTTACGCTCCATCCTTTTTACCAGTGTGTTAAAAGTTTTATTTTAACTATAAAATATCCTGACAGATAGCATATGAGAAATATATGAACAGCTTAAAGGAACACTATAGTGTTGGACTACAATATTTAGGCCCCCAACCCCCCTCAGATTGGAGATATAAATGTGGCTTTACTTACCTTTTCTCCATCACTGCTCTGGCCTTGCTGCAGCTGGTCCCGCCTTTATGGCTGAGATCATCAATCTGATGATCTCAGTCAATCCAATGCTTTCCTATAGAAAAGCATTGGGAGGCTACTGTGCATGCACGGCAAAATATCAGAGTGACTGCCACTAGTGTAACCGCAGCTGGTTCCCCTTTTTACCACTATAAATGTATAGAATTTAGCAGGGCTAACAGTACAGATATCTTAGCTATAATATGATATAGTTAGTAAGAGTTGCTCTATATAAAATATATAAATAATTGAGAATACAATAAACATAATGATTGTCTTGGAAGCAATAAAGTTTTGTCTTTTAAAATATTTTATTAAATAAAAATATAAATATGGACATATGAAAACTTAATAATCAATTACAATAACTTATAGCAGAGTTTAAAAGATTAAAGTATATGCTTGCAATATCAGTAAAATAGAATAACATTTACCGAATATAAACAAGACAGGAGAGCGCAACTCTATTTAAATAAAAACAAATAAACAGTTAAAATATATCTCCAAATAAATTAAGCAGCTATACACATATAAAGTTTCCTTAAAACTTCACATATAATGGTATTTTAAAATTAAGTGCAAGCGCTATATTTTGAAAACTTTAAAATAGGTGATCGGTATCAATATGAAATACAGACACTTATCTATGCATTCTTATGATTAATAAATAAAACCATATAAGCCACAGTGTGTGTAATTTCAAATGACCTTAAAAACTGCTAAAGGGTCCAAAAGTCTTTGGGTAGTAGTCTCTTTAGAGTTAATCTTGTCTCTCGCAGCCATGAACCAGCGTCTATTGATACACTGTATAACACAGTGAACGTTGTTCTTTAAAAAGATACAAAAAAGTTTTCATAGCGTAACACTGTAATTTATTAACAATAACAAGGAACCCTTACATTAACATATGGTGGTACTCGTCGCCAAGATACCACAAATAAGCATAGATATATCAGAGGCTTAGAAGCCGTTACCGTCCATTATTCTGCTAGTGAAAACTCCCGCTCAATCTCTATGCTGATAAGGCAAGTGTCGGTGCAGGGAGGAGACTGGAAATAGGGATCGGTATTGATGAATTGTTCTTTCTCCACCTCTGATTCAGCAAACACCGCTCACGCTTCAACGCATTTCGCCCATAACATTGGGCTTTCTCAAGATAGTGTAGCGGCTAATGGGAGCGTTACTATATATGCGCCTATCAATTTAACTCATGAAGTCCCATTTACCTTATCCTTCCGTGAAAAGGGCTCCCCTTACATGGACATGTCAATTTAGGGTTAAAAAAAACATTTCAATATACATTGTTAAATAGTGCTATGTGTATATAAAAAGTTGAACTTAATCGAATGGGTACATTTCATAAAAGTCAAAATTGTTGTGCAAATACATTCATTACATAGAATACACCAACTTAAATAAAGTTGTTAGGAAAAATAAAAGATATAAATATGTCAATGTAAGAAAAGACTTGGTTGAAAACTACAAGCATATACAGACAAATTTTTGTATCGTATGTTTTTTCTTTTCTTTCTCTCATCTTTGCTTTCCTGTTAACCCCTCCTTCCCTATTTCCTACCATTTTTACCCTACCCCTGAGGGGGGGAATGGGGGAGATCAAATGACACAGAATGTCACAGAGAGTATGAGATAATATGACGGTACGCTGGATCCATATCTCACGAGGGATAGGCCTTAGGCGCAGAACCAGAGAACGCAGCATGGGGGAGTACGGCATAGACCCTTATCAATTGATATGCCTGTAAAACTTTTTTCTTTAAATGTCAAGGGCATTAATGCGCCCAAAAAGCGACGCCTTATGTTCAAAGAAATTAAGCGCATGAATCCCGACATTCCTTTTCTGCAGGAGACGTACATCCCAGCATCAACAAAATTTGCCATAAGAGATCAAACTTATCACACGACGTACGAAGCTAAGGCCCTTAATAAAAGACATGGGGTGACAATCCTTATACACAATAGATGCACTATAACAAGGTTCATTCAGATCCGGGAGGGCGTTTCATTTTAATATCAGGAACTTTGTATTCTCACGCTATACACATCCTTAACGTTTACGCCCCCAACATCCCGGACATAGACTTCTGGACAGACTTGACTCATAGAATACAAACACTACCACATGGCATGGTTATAGTGGGGGGAGACTTTAACGCAGCTCCATGCCCGGCGATCGATAGGGGAACTAAAAGGGGGGGGGTCCCACGTTCCCACGGGAGGGGAGGACAAAACAAGCTACTACACGCCTTCATACAACATACAGGACTAAAATCGATATTTAGAGATCTCACCACCCTGACGTCGTAGACTACATTTTCTATTAGCCTCCCCACGACACCTACTCGAGGATAGACCTGTTCTTAGTGAACCCCCTAGCCGTATCTAGAGTTACTGACTCTACAGTGGGCTCAATAACGCGGTCCGATCACGTGGACATTACATTAATGCTTGAGAAGCTGTGTGTGGCATCTCCATGGACATGGAGACTGAATACTTCTCTGCTCCAAGACCCAGAGATAGCTACAAAGGTTCGGAATGACTTACTTGCGAAGCGGAGTCCGGACTGCCAACAGCCACGGTGTGGGCGGCCCACAAGGCAGTGATCAGGGGCACTTTGAAATACGAGAAGCGACGCTGAGGAAGAAGCGAAAAACCCAATTATTAACTTCCCTCTTAGCCTCCTTGAGGAAAGCGGAACAAAAGCATAAATCCGACCCTACTCCAACCGGTCTGGAAGCAGTACATGACTCGAGAAATTTAGTTTTAAACGTCTTATTGGAAGATACAGCAAGAGCCATGGTGTGGTCCAAACGGAAACTATTATGAGAGGGCCATTAAGATGGACACGCTATTAGCAAGATCCCTTCGACAACAGGGCGCACACATTACGAAAATTAAAGACAGATCAGGTAAGTACCAAACGAATCCCACGGATATAGCCGCCATCTTTATGGAATACTACACTAAACTATATAACCTTACCAGCGTGGATACCCTGGATACTCAAAGCGAACTACAGCGGATTAGGAGGGTTCTAAACTAGTTAGATCTACCAAGGCTGCGGACTCGGAGGTGTTGCAAAAACGGATTTCAGTCGAGGAAGTGGACGGAGCCATTTCGGCGCTAAAAAGCAACAAAGCACCAGGCCTGGATGGCTTTGATGGTAGCTACTAGAAGATTCTGCGAGAAGAACTTAAACCCTACTTGGAATCTTGGTGCAACGATCTCATGGAGGGGGGGTGGGGAATCACCAGACATGTCTTTAGCGGACATAGTTTTACTTCTGAAGCCCGGAAGGGATGATGCATTAACAGAAATCTTCCGTCTGATATCCCTGATAAATCACGACTCTAAAATCCTCGCAAGTAGGCTAAACCCAATTCTCCCACGGTTAGTCCACCCAGACTAGGTGGGCTTCGTGCCAGGAAGACAACTATTCAAAAACACGACGTAACATCTATCTCATCTGGAGTCAGGCCGCTAAGGGCACTCCAACTCTGGTCCTGTCTCTTGATGCAGAAAAAGTTTTCGATAGGTTAAAATGGACCTATTTATTCGAGGTCTTGGACCATCTGGGTGTCCTGGCCCGTTTTGTTACGGCGATCCGGGCCATGTATACCAACGTCAGAGCGTGCATATAGATCTCGGGAGCGGGAGTCACACCGTTCCAACTGAGTAACAGCACCAGACAGGGTTGTCCTCTTTCGCCGTTACTGTTCGCCCTGTCTCTAGAGCCCCTGTTCCAGAAAATACGGGCCAACCCGGACATTAAGGGAATCAGGGTGGGAGGGAAAAGATACCTAGTTTCAGGATTTGCTGATGATGTTCTCCTAACGCTTACGGACCCAAAAGATTCTATGGCAGCACTGACGAACGTCTTAAAGAAAATCTAGCGCACTCCCCATAGGCATGACTGACGCGGCCAGAACATATAGGAGAGACCTACCACATACGCATAGCAAGGGATTACATCAAATATTTGGGCATTAGGATGACGGCAGATCCACTATACAAACATAACTACACACCATTGATTCATACCTTGATAAGTGACCTCCCCTTCTCCGATGACCCCGTTCCTGAGGAATGGAGAATTCCCCCCCGGAATGGCGGCACAAATTTTTAGAGGCATTGAAAACACTGGATTGCAGAGATTGAAACATCTCTTTGAATACGGTGGTGACTTTCGAAGCATTGAAAACTAGAGCCCCATTGAACTCGTTTGATTATTTTCGATAAATACAGTTAAGGGACTACGCTCAAAACACGTAAATTAAGAAGGCTGCCCTTACACCACTTACATTCTTCGAGGGAATGTGCATTAAAGAATAGTTCCCGAGTGGGCTAATTTCTTGTCTATACACAAACTTGAGCACACACACAGGAATGGGGACGGATTACATATACGGAGTAGTGGGAGGCGGACTTGGGCGAGGAGTTGGAAGGCATAGAGTGGCATGAAATTTGGGAAGCCGCAGCAACGTCCTCTGTGTGTGTCTCCCTGCAGGAACAATCATTTAAGACCCTATTTAGATGGTATACTACACCGGTAAAATTGTCCCGAATGAATAAAACCACAACGGACTTATGCTTGAGGGGGTGCAGACAACAGTGAACTTATATACACATGTGATGGGAATGCCCAGAGGTACAAGCATACTGGAAGCTGATAGCGGAGTTTGAAGGAGACATCCTTGAAAAAGAGGTCAAACTAGACCCTTGGGTGCATCTTTTAGCCAGATCCATAGAAAATTGGACAAGAGCAGAACAAACCCTCCCACATAAACTAAACTTAGCCGAAAGGAGGGCACTAGCACAGGTATGGCTGCAAAGGGAGAGACTGACTATCCCCGCGGTGATACAAAAAATCATGGATACTTTCCTAATGGATAAATTAACGGCACAGGTCCGAGGGTCCATGACCAGGTTCGAATGGATCTGGGGCCCGTGGATAGCCAGCACAGCCAGTGATTAAGAGATGAGTGGGGAGGGCACGCCCACCCCTGCGCATGTCGCACATCCCACAACAGAAAACGTCCAATTGCCATATATGATATATATCTCCTGTCGGGGGGAGGGCTTCTGGGATCCCCAGGGGAGATACAAGTTACACTGCCCCAGAGACCGGATAAACACGATCCACTGATGTGTCCGCCCCCCATGGGAGGAGAAATTATAACACCTAGGAGCCCCTCCTCAACCACATACCTTCCACACTCCACCTCCCTCCCCCCACTCCTCCTTCCCCATCCCTCCAATGTTCTCCCCCACTCAATCCTCTCCTATCTACCTCTATCTATCTTTCTTTTCTCTATCTACTTATAGTTCTATCTTCTAGTTCATTATGTACAAGTATGAAGTATAGGAATACTCATGGACCACAAGGGGCGGTAATGAGCAAATTTAGTCACTATGATACCTCCAGACATTCCTACAAGGGGAAGAGACCATTGAGTGAAAAATATTATAGAAACTAACACCTCCTATCTGTAGGGTTGTGCATGACTTCATTTTCATTTTGAGTTATAAATACCCAGGACAAAAAAAGCTGGACGTTTGTCATTCTCCGAGATTAGCTTAAAGATACACTGCATCACCTGAACTCGAAAGCGGTTCTTGTTGCAATATTTACAGATATGTTTCAGTTGTCTGTCTATACATGAATATTGTCGCTATACATGTGCTTGTTTCTACACCTGTACAGTTTAACAGTATCACAGAAATGTTGCCTTGTTTTGTATTTTCTTGAAATAAAGAATTTAAAAAAAATAATTGAGATTGGCTGCTATAATTGAAAATAATGGGAAAATTAAAACTTTTGTCTTGCATTATACCCTTTTTGGATGGATTAAGAGTTGGAATTGTCCGTACAGTGCATAAGTCAGCCAAGGGGAATGGTGACAGCTTGATCTTAGAATAAAACCGTTCACGTCAACCATTTTCAAAAAAAGGTTTAGACGTCAAAGCTTGTTCTTCTACATATAAAACCAGATCCCGAAAATCAATACTTGTGGTGCTGTACTTGGAAGTCAAAGATAAATTATATCGGTTCTTATTCATATATTCTAAAAACAGGGATAATTCTTTCTCCTCCCCTTCCCAAATAAAAAAGTTGTCATTGTACCGTCTATAGAGGACTAGGTTCGCAACCCATGGATGGCCCTGCCATATATGTAAATCCTCCCAATATGACATAAAAATGTTCGCGGAACTGGATGCGAACCTAGTCCCCATAGCATTACCAGTGACTTGTAGATAAATCTCCTCCCTTTGCCAGAAAAAAATATGAGTAAGAATAAAATTAATACATTCAAGCAACAATTCAATCTGTTCCATCTGTAATTCTGAAACTGTATATAGAGTATGTCTTACTGCTCTTAATCCCAATTCATGTTGTATTACTATATAAAGTGAAGTAACATCACAGGTTACTAACCAATAATTTTTCTTCCAGATTATGCCCTCTATTGTTCGAAGTAGTTCACTGCTATCCCTCAAATATGACTTTGTTCCTTTAACTGATGGCTGTAATAGTGTATCTATATACTGGGACAGATTAGAGGTTAAGGATTCTATCCCTGAAATGATTGGTCTTCCTAGCGGTTCTGTCACATTCTTGTGAATTTTCAGGAGAAAATAAAAAAACAGGTTTTCTAGGGTATAGATTCAAAACAAAATCATATTCCTTTTTTGTTAAAATTCCCACCTGTTTTCCTTTCTCTAGGAGGGTAATCAAATCAAAGTAGCGTCTTTGTTCAGTAGTTTCTAAGTATTTTTTATCCAGCAAAATTCTAAGACATTCTTTTTCATAATACTCTATATTCACTAGAACCCTTATCGGCGGGTTTAATTATTATGTTCCTAATATTGCCTAATTCATTTAAGACCTTTTTTTCTTGTACTGTAAGGTTATGGTGTCTATTTGGAATTTGGTTAGGATTTTTTTCTAGATCTTCTAGTACTGCTATACTAAAAGCATTCATATGCATACTTGATGGGTTGGGGGGGGGGGCAGAATTTGGATTTCTATTTTAAAGCCATGTGTTTGAAAGGATTGTCATTTTGAGTTGTGTTTGAGTCAATAGAGTTACTCATAAAAAAGCTTCAGGTTAAGTGTGCTAGTACATTTTTGGACATTCAGAAAATTCTAAAAAGGGATCCGACCTAATGGCCGGGGCGTATTTTAATCCCTTATTTAAAACTTTAATTTGATCTGGTGTTAAAGTGATGTTTAAGTTAATAATTCCCATGGGTTTTGCCATTTGATTCTCTTTTCTTTTCTGGACTCCTCTACATCCCCTTTGTATCGTTACTTTTGTTTTGTATTTTGAAATTGGTGATTTACAAACATATGGTGAGGCCCTAAAAAATCCTTCTCCTCAGGCTGATTGGATTGAATTTTTGATTTTATCATGCACAGTATCCTCTCTGTATGTGTTAATGCTTCAAATCTATTAGAAATGTGACCTATATTTCTATGGATTCTTGGTTGTGGTGTGTATGGTTTTGGTTTAGTGTGAGGTGTATTTCTATGTCTTTAATTAGTCACTAATGTCCAGCCCTACTCTTTGGGTGTTCTAGGGAGATTAGGCTGCTTTGATGGAACATATTCTTTTTATAATGATCCATATTAGATCCATTATTAGTTCTAGTTAAGCTCTTATCCCTATTATTCCTTCGTGAGGTCTGGGTTACTGAAAAGTGATTATTGCGCAGTTGTTCCTTTCTATGGTAATTCCTTACTCTATTTTCCTGGACATCTTGTTGGTCTCCCTCAAATTTTCTCTTTTTAATGTTAATCGTCTTTTCAAAAGTTTTATCTACCGTATATAAGTTACAAAAATTGGTGATTACTGTGTCAAGTGCGCTTATAGATATAATTGAGTGATAGAAAGCAGCTACACACTCTAGTGGGTGCTCTCTTTTCCCCACTAAATATAGAAGTGAACCAAAGTGAGTTTATGGCAATCTGGATATAATGTCCAGACTGTACTAAATCAAATGAGTGGAGCGCTGAATATATACACTTACCCTAAGATAGGGTTAAGTCTCAGATATATGTGGATACATGTAAATGAAAACAAAATTACAGCACAATATAGTGAACGAAGGACCGCCCACCGGATGAAAAGACCGGCAGATTTAAAAGCAGCAAGGTATCAGAAACATCAAATCCGATTGAAAAGGCCCACATGGTGTGGGTGAAACGTGTCTTGGAATTGAATACGATTATTGGGACATTTTACCTTTGGTTTATTAGTAACGGGATATTTTAACTTTATTTTTTTGATTTTTCTTTTGGTTTTATATTTAATAGTTACAATAAATGTATTATTTTATATACTAAGTCCCATTGGCTTTTTACCTTACCTTGCTGCTAAAGAAAGGCAGGTGCCCCCTTCTAGAAGCACCCAGGTTTACCATCCAAAGCCAGGTTTCCATTGGCTCAGAAAAAGGCAAGCACAACCATAACCACTGCAATTTTGATTTATGTTGAAACATAGTATACTAGGAGGTCTCCCTTTTTTTGTTTCTCTATTTGAGGAAACAGTTAAAGGATGCAGTATCTCCATACGACACTACTGCGGAAGTGATTTGAGCCTGTCCATTTGAGGCTCTAATCTATGTGAGTTTGATCAATGGAAATATCACTACAATATATCTTTACTTGCAGATTTACACTATATTGTGCTGTATTTTTTTGTTTCATTTACATGTATCCACTTATATCTGAGACTTAACCCTATCTAAGGGTAAGTGTATATATTCAGCGCTCCACTTATCTACCATATATAAATCGAGTATAAGTCGACCCGAACACAAGTCGAGACCCCTAATTTTACCCCAAAAAACTGGGAAAACTTATTGACTCGAGTATAAGACTAGGGTGGGAAATGCAGCAGCCACTGGTACATTTCTAAATAAAATTAGATCCCCCAAAAATTATATTAATTGAATATTTATTTACAGTGTGTGTGTATATAATGCATGCAGTATGTGTAGTGTGTGTCTATAATGCAGTGTGTGTGTGTGTATGAATGCAGTGTGTGTGTGTTTGTGTATGAATGGTGTGCGTGTGTGTATGTGTATGAATGAATGCAGTGTGTGTGTGTGTGTGTATGTGATGCAGAGCCTTGGTGGGGGGTGGGCATTTTTATTATTATTTTTTTAATTATTATTATTTTTATATATTAATATTTTTATTTTAATAATATTTAAATTTGTATTTTTTTTTGTCCCCCCTCCCTGCTTGTTAGCTGGCCAGGGAGGGGGGCTCTCATTCCCTGGTGGTCCAGTGGATGGGCTGTGTAGGAGGGGGCTGGCAGGAAGCTGTTACTTACCTTTCCTGCAGCTCCTGTCAGCTCCCTTCTCCTGCGTTCCGGTCAGCTCCCCTGTCAGCTCCACTGTAAGTCTCGCGGTCTGAGTGCCGCGCGGAGCGTTGCCCGTGGCAACGCTCTGACCCCACGGCTCTCGCGAGATTTACAGTGGAGCTGACCGGAACGCAGGAGAGAGAAGGGAGCTGGCAGGAGCTGCAGGAAAGGTAAGGAACCGCTCTCTGCCAGCCCCCAACAACTTCCTAACAACTTTATTTAAGTTGGTGTATTCTATGTAATGAATGCATTTGCACATAAATTTGACTTTTATGAAATGTATCCATTCGATTAAGTTCAACTTTTTACATACACGTAGCACTATTTAACAATGTATATTGATATTTTTTTTAACCTTAAATTGAAATGTCCGCGTACGGTGAGCCGTTTTCACGGAAGGATAAGGTAAATGGGACTTCATGAGTTAAATTGATAAGCGTGTTTATAATAACGCTCCCATTAGCCGCATCACTATCTTGAGAAAGCCCGGTGTTATGGTCGAAATGCGTTGAAGCGTGAGCGGCATTTGCTGAATCAGAGGTGGAGGAAGAACAATTCATCAATACCGATCCCTATTTCCAGTCTCCTCCCTGCACCAACACTTGCCTTATCAGCATAGAGATTGAGCGGGAGTTTTCACTAGCAGAATAACGGACGGTAACGGCTTCTAAGCCTCTGATATATCTATGCTTATTTGTGGTATCTTGGCGACGAGTATCACCATATGCTAATGTAAGGGTTCCTTGCTTTTATTGTTAATAAATTACAGTGTTACGCTATGAAAACTTTTTTTGTATCTTTTAAAGAACAATGTTCACTGTGTTATACAGTGTATCAATAGACGCTAGTTCATGGCTGCGAGAGACAAGATTAACTCTAAAGAGACTATTACCCAAAGACTTTTGGACCCTTTAGCAGTTTTTAAGGTCATTTGAAATTACACACACTGTGGCTTATATGGTTTTATTTATTAATCATAAGAATGCATAGATAAGTGTCTGTATTTCATATTGATACCGATCACCTATTTTAAGGTTTTCAAAATATAGCGCTTGCACTTAATTTTAAAATAGAATAACATACCCTCTTGAACCTTTCAGTCATGATAAAAATGGAGCAGCATCTCTGCATTCAAAATTCTCTCCTCTGTATTTTTAATATTAATAAGTACAGGTATTTATACCTTAGATATTCAATTAGGTCATGTTAGGGTCTACCTTAAGTTGGCAAGCATTTCACATGGGAAAATCTTAAATCAGTATATTGTCATGACCTAGACATCTTATCTATGTTTGGAGTAAAACTTAAGGTTGCACATGACATGAGAAATTCCCTGACTTGGTGTGACACCAACCTAGGGTAAGATGGCTTCCTAAAGTCTAAATACCATATATTTACGTATCTAGGCAAGTCATTTGATAAGTAAAGGAACATTGTATGAAAAACAATATTTTTAAATTTCTATCAAATGGCTAGTTTGCAAAATATCTTAACCCCTTAGTGACCAGGCCATTTTTCTATTTTCTTACCATCTTTCAGAGCGATCACATGGCTTGCGGGGGCATTATTTGCCAAAGGGCTATCAGGGCATTTTTTCCCTCTGGGCTATCAGGCAGTACCCCCCAAACCAGGAGGAACGCCAATCACCGGCAGGGTGAACGGTGGTGTTCGGGTAAGTAAGAAGGACTTTGAGGACGTACTAGGTACGTCCGCGGTCGTTAAGGACAGTTTTTTTGTTGGATGTACCTAGTATGTCCTCGGTCCTTAAGAGGTTAAAAACAAAGTTTAAGAAATACAACTTTTCATTCTAAAAACCTGTAATATTTGATAATGCCCATAAGACTAGAGGTATTACTAGGCAGCAATGTGAATGGCAGAGTTTATATTGCTGAACCTGCAGGTACATGCTATAGACACCAGAACCACTAAATTAAATTGTATTAGTTCTGGTGACCATAGTGTCTGTTTAAACAAACTATCAAAGATACTCAGTTATATACACACTGAAAGTATTGTACTATACATTAGAATTAAAATTATCTTACCTCTGTTGCCAGATCTGATTTTACTCGGATAGTGCATCGCCGCATGGCTAATTGAAATGTAAAGCTTATTACACCTCTCACTTTCAACAATGCCTCTTCACAAATATTCTTCTTCTCCTAATTTGAAAACAGAATAAAACCATTATCCATGTGCATACAGACATTCTGTTCTTTTTTTGTTTAAGGTCACACATTTCCTCTGATCTTCAAATAATTTTTTTTAATGGATCTTTACCACCCCTATCCCCCACACACACACAGAGCACCCCTATCCCACCCCACAAACAAAGCACCCCTCACACTCACACCTCACACACACAGCACCCCCCCACACACGCATCACTCCACACACACACCCACCACCACACCCCACACCCTTACACTCCACACCCTTACACACAAACACTGCACCCCTCAATGCAGTATGTGTGTGTATGTATTCAACAGTCTGTGTGTACTCAGCAATCTGTGTGTGTTTGTCTTCAGCAGTGTATGTATTCAGCAGTCTGTGTGTGAATGTGTTCAGCAGTCTGTGTGTATGTATTGCATTTGTTGTAGATACTAATACATATAAGATTAATTTTATCTATTTATATCATTAAACTCTCTGTTGTGTTCTTCTTTTAAAACAGAAGATGTTAATTAGTTCAGATAACTGTACGAGTTGTTTCTTTTAAACTTCAAAATATTCAGTTGGCATGTATTGCGGTTTGGGCACTCGGGCTCAAAAAGGTTCGCCATCACTGTTCTAGGGTCTCTACATATTTCAGTGATGGTGATTTTCCAAAGGGGACAGCGGCACATGTTGTGCAGTGGCTCAGGGTGCAGTTGGAGTAAGTTATACATATTTGATGAAGTCCCCCACAGGTGCCAACAGCTTCATTCTACAGCTCCAGGCCCTTTGGCCACCAGGAACCCACGTCAGTGCTCTAGTCTTACACATACTCATAGATTGCAAGTTTGTTTGGGCAGGGCCTCCTTCACTTCTCGTTTCTGTTAATATTTTGTATGTCAACTACTTTATTCTATCACCTCAATTCTATGATTGTAAAGAGATGCGTAATATGTTGGCACTATATAAATAATAATAATGATGCACAAGAGTAAACAATTATGTCCATGGAGGATCCCATGTAAGTCTCCATTGGATATTATTTCACTTTGGGAGAGGAAAGGGGGGGGGGGCATGAAGGTGATAAAACTTGACAATGTTCCCTACTTTGACTTATATCATCTTATTTACTGTATTGGAATTTCAAATGAATTCCAACACAGTCTTTATGAGCATTTCACAAAGATTTTATCTTTCTATAATTGGATTTTTTTTTCTTAAATATCAGAGCCTCTTGCATTACTTTGAACAGTCTACACAAAATCAAAAAACAAATAAAAGACCCACAAGGACAATAAAAGTAACAGTAGCGAAAGGCATATGTTAAGTGGAGAAGGTACCTGTATATAGATGTCACAATTCTAAGACCTCAAAAAAAGTCTGATAAACTAAGAGTACTTATGTATCAAAACACACACACACAAGGTTCACCAAAGTAAACTACAGGATCTTTAGTCTATCTAAATTTAGGCTACATTTGTGTGTGAGTCTGTGTGTTATACATGTATGGCTCCTACATCCCACAGCAGGTGGAATGGAAGGTAAAATTTTTTACTCATGTAGTAAAAATAAATACACAACTGAGAATCTCTTATTATGGTAAATACTGTAATGGTTGTCTCCAAAACAACCAACAATTATATATTCATATAATGCACCATTTGTTGTTACGTATTATATTCGAATAGCCAACAATGTACATTTATTAAACTCTTTTTTTATTTGAACGTGCCACAAAAGCACACAAAAAAACTCTAAAATACATAACATTTGTTTTATTGCCAGGATTCTTTTTAACCATGTGTAATCTACTACAGGACAAAATGACTTGCCCTGATGTCAAGATCTTGTCCACACAGACAGCTGATCTAGTGAACGCCAGTTAACTCTGTATAAGTAAAGAGGCTTTGAACACATCATTACATAGCTCCTATTGAGGGTATTAGCATTGTCTTAATAGTCAGAAATGAGTGGACGGGAAAGAGTAGAAACAATTTATTTCTGTCCATTTACCAGGGATTATTAGTATTATAAACTACATGGAGAGTGCAAGATAAACATAACACATAAACAATACATAACACAGAAAACCTTTAAAAACCGGTACACAAAATAGAAGAAACCTACATTAGATTAAGAACAGGGAATCCCCTGCACAGAGCAGAGATATGTGTGGAGGGGGTGGTAGGCCGAGGCTTAAAAGGACACTATAGGCCAGTGATGGCGAACCTTTTTGAGCCCAAGTGCCCAAATGTGTGTGGGGGAGGGGTGCTGTGGGGAGGTAGGGGTACTGTGTGTTGGGGCGGTAGGGGTACTGTGTGTAGTGGGGGTAGGGGTACTGTGTGTAGGGGAGTAGGAGTACTCTGTGTGTGGGGGTAGGGGTACTCTGTGGGGGGCTGGGGTGAAGGTGTTTAAAAAAAAAAAAAAGAAAATCAGTATAAATCAGTATACCCCCTCCCTCCTTCTTACCTTTAATGAAGGAGGGGGAGGACACAGCCATCCCTGGTGGTCCGGTGTTGGCAAGCACTGCTTCCGTGTGGAGAGGCAGGGGGAGGGATCTGTGAAGCAGCACCCCTGTCCTCCTGCGCGATGCTGTGTGGAGTGTTGCCATGGTAACGCGCAGCAATGCTCCACACAGCTTGCTCTCGGGAGGACAGGAGAGAGAGCTGCTTTACAGATCCCTCCTCCTGCCTCCCGACACGGAAGCAGAGTATGCGCCTGCCGTTTTGGGCAGGCAGGTGCCTACTCTGCATTGATGGCGAACCTATGGCCGCGTGCCCACAGAAAGGGCCCAGCGTGCCACCTGTGGCACGCGTTCCATAGGTTCGCCATCACTGCTATAGGCTCACAGACCACTGTAAGCTAAACTGGTCTGGGTGCTATGTTCCTGTCATTTTAGCCTTGTAACTGAAAACATTGCCGTTCTGTAGGAATGGCGTTATTTACATTGCAGAGTTAACATGCCTTCACTTTCTGTCTTCCAGACACCTAAATCTGTATTCCTATTGATATAAAGTTTAGGTTGGTACACTTAGTGCTACCCACTTTGTGGTCTTGGCCTTACATACTGCCCTAAAATTTACTGGGCTGCACACCATGCATGCTTTGTGTAATGGCATAATATCAACTACCTCAAACATTACTATAAATGCATATAGCTGAAAACAGAATCCCTGAGGTGGTACCTAGACACAGGAGAGCTCCCTAAACAGGTCGCTTACACCCTTTCAATGTGTACACAGATTATTTATATGATCACAAGTTAATTTTCTTGAGTGATATATTCCTTCCCGGGGTTTTTTTGGGAATGGGCATTCATTCATTTTTCATTTTTCAATTTTAGGTGAGCAAGGTTTTTTGTGCCCCTATTATAAGTTTATTTTAATACTTATATATAGAAATGTGCAGGGTGCCCATTATTATTAATATAAATAAAAATCTTTTATGTGTGGCTTTATAATACACACTAATATATTAATTTGATCTATAACTTTCTTCTTAATGGGCACTCCATGGATTCACTGTCCTGTGCGATTGGGCACACACAGGGTTAACCACCTACATAGTGACATAACTGATTGAAGGGGCGGGTCCTATTCGAACGCCGATTTTGGCGCGAATGGGTACGACCACGCCCCCTTTCTTCATTGGACCGAGCCGCATACAAATACACCGGCCGGTAAGGGAACCTCTTTGATTCCTCTGAGGAAGGCGCTTCGAATTGCGCCGAAACGCGCGTTAGGCAGGCTTAGAGGAGATAGATTTTGAGGGAGCCGTTCTTTATTTTTGTCCCAGTCAAGAGTCAGTCTTTTAGCGAGGTCAAATTAGCTGGCTTGGGGGTTTATATCGTGTTTGGCAGTAGTGGTGGGATCTTTCTTCTATACGATACTCTATATCTACGGGTAGATACAAGTTGTTATTGTTTTACATTCAGTTGCAATGTTTTAGACACTGCAACTGTGTATTAATTTATGGCTACTATCAGGGTCTTTATTATTGTAATTCTTTGGTAGCTCTCAATACATAGAAATTTCTGTCCCTGGTTTATGAGCAACAATTTGCCACTTGGTCTTTGCCAGTTCTCCACCCCATTATACTTGCCCAGCCCCCTTATAAATCTGGACTTGGGTAGACCTTCAGTGCTATTATAGCTTTTTCTTTATAGGTGACCCTTAGTGGTCACATTCTATACCCTTCTTTGTATTTGCTCCCTCTCTCTCCTTTTTATTCCATTTTTGTTATTTTCAATTTGACATTTTATTAATGTCTCTTATTAAAGGTTAAGTTTTAGCATTTTTCTCTAGGCAGGGGCTTCCTTTTTTGCTGACCCTTGTGGGTTAAGGAGGGGTGGGTGTGTTTTTCCTCCCCCCCCCCTCTTTTTCCTCCATCTAAGGGTCTCCTTGTTTATTACCCTTTCAATGGAGCATCTCTGTCAATCTGGTATACAGGTTTTCTTATCAACAAGCCCACATTACTGACAGCACTTGATGAAATGACTTTCCACTTCTGATAAAAGGCCCGTCACGGTTTGTTGAAAAAACATAACATAGCGTTAATGGTGACCTTCTACTCCTGTCTGATACAGTAACATACAACAAACAAATAAAGAACAATTATGGTATGAACTTAGACATTTTTAAAATTCTGTTTGAACTTGGTCCTTACTTACATAGTGTAGCAGAATGGACATTTGCAAACTACTTTTATCCCATATATTGGCTGTCCGTATCTTCCCCCTGTTATGTTGTGTATTTTGCCTTGGTTATTTCGTGTGTTTCTTCTTGGGCTTTTCTGGAGACTTCATACAGAGTCCGTTCGTCTCCCAAACAAGGAGCACCCCTGTACCCCATTAAAAAGTTAACACCAACCACTTAAGTGCGAAACCACAAGGGAAACAATTAATGAGTGTTTCTCCTGGGTGGCTGCCATTTCGTACAACCGAACATGTGGCCAGGGCACCTATTCTCCTGGAACTATTTTGGGCTACCACCTTGTGTCTGGCCAGTCAAATCTTCCCCACAATGCTGTTCCCGTTCTATCTAACCGATCTGAGTGATTCTTGGATATGTTGGTCACTCAGATTGGGGCTATCGGGGAATGTACTTTTTTGTGGGGTTCCACTGTATGGTTGGGGGACTTTTGGGGTACGGAATATTTTGGGGATTTTTTTGTACCAGAGAGATTCAATTGGAGGAGTTTACTCAGGCAATTATCTCTCATGCACAACGGATCCTGAGATTAAAACCCTTGCATTTTCTACCTGTGAGACAACTTGCATGGGAGATGGCATAAAAGCTGTGTATGTGTGAATAAAATTCAGTTATACCCCCAGAGCTGAGTGTCATACAGTTGCTGGGGAAGAGGTGGGAGAGTCTTGGAGTATTTTGCTGTGCCTGACTGTTCAATTGGATTGTTTTACTTGTTTCAGAGTATATTTTGGAGTAACCAGTGGAGGAGAGTCCCTGCTAGGACTAGGGCTCCACTACAAATAGGCTACTGACATTGTTTGAGAAGCTCTGCTATCATGCCAAGCTGCTGCAGCTCTGCTTAAGCTAATGTCTTATTTGGAGGAGGTGTTACACATGGCATTCACTGAGCAACAGGGAATATAAAAATAAATAAATCAATACTGACATCAGAGATTGCTGTGCTCTAAATATCAAGAGATCAATCACGAAACCCTAAGAACATCCCTTAGAGGCTTCATACGATCTCCCCTGAATTTGCACCTTTGTTGGAGATGCCGGTGGGTTGTCAGATCGTTGCAAATTGGTTTGGGGAAATGTGCTGTCATAATCTCCTTCATCCCAAACTTCCCATTTTTGGATAAAAAATTAAAAAAAAAAAAAAAAAAAAGACACTATCGTAACACCTGTTAATCGCTACCAAATTCGGATCCCTGTGCCCTCTGAATGTAACCTACTGCCCCCAGCTTCTGAAGAAGGCTGAAAGAGTTGAGGATATACAGTTGAGGCTTTGATGAATAGAACAGAGAACTACCTAGAAACTTTGACCTGATTGTTTTTCCTGTCGGAGCAAAATGACCTTAACTAACTAGGTAGGGTGTTTTTTTTCTGTTTTATTAATAGGGTTTTACTTTTACTACACCAGGTAACCAAACTGGCTTATTAACCTTTTCTGGGATAAGCACCTTTCTAATTTTGATGACGTTTTTATGGTGCCTGACGCGACGTGCTCCTATAATGTCCATCTTGATATGGTTTCTTAATATTGATTTTCGAAATATTTAGATTTATAAAAAAATAAATAAAAAGGAACCACCAATAAAAATGAATACCACCACCAAGTCACATAAATTTTGTTATGTTACCAAATCTTACCATGTCATCAAGTCCATGAATATGAAGAGTTACAGTTTTCACTCTCTTGTTACAGCTGGAGATGAAAAATTGTGGCTTTGTCTTTTCTGGCGTGTACTTTTGAGAAGGGAATGTAAAGGAAGCATATATGCTCTGTGCAAGTTGTTTGAGGTCATCAATAACATCACACCTGTAAATACAGTTCACCGGAACATTGATCAGTATGTTATAGTAAAATATCCACTGGATCAGACCTCTACATGGTAGCGATAAATTAAATGCGAAGTACATTTGTCTATCAACCACCACAATCATCTATTTTGGGCAAAATAAAGTATGAATTTCAGATTAGGCTTAGGGTTAAAATGACAAAATGCTTTATGGAAAAATGTTATTAAAAGAAGCAAAACTAGTCAATATATGGGGAGAGTCATGTAGGGAATACATGTTCTGCATGTGAGATACAGCAGCCACAGACGACTGTTTAAGCCTTCTTTGGGTCTCACCATTGAGGTATAGCCAATATCCCTCTAGGCACAATGAGCACAGGGTTCACATCTGGATTACTCTTGATTTAGGGAGTGTGAAGAAATTATCCCGTTGTTTCGGTTATTTAACTTTTTTCGTTCAGTAGATGAAACTACCGAACACAGACTACGCCCCTGGCTCGTTAACTACAAAGAGAACAAGGAATTAGTGCTCTCTGTGTGGCCACCGTTCATATAGTCGATCGCCACGTGCAGGAAAAACGGTGCCCATCTTGTTCGGACGAAAGGAGGCAGCGGGACTTGATCGTCTAGTGTCTGGAACGAAAATCGGACACTCGACTTCCCGAACACTGGTCAAACCATACGAACGCCTGCTTCCTTTTTCCGAACAGCTAGGAGAGCGCTGTTCGGTAGTTTTGTTCCCACGAACTAGAGGAACAAACGCTATGAGCCAGGGGGTTCTGTTTGTGGATTTATTCGGTTTTATGACTTTCCGAAATAGACCGACCGCACAACCTGAACTGATGGAACGGTTTCTGGGCAAGAACCTCATGTGCGGTCGGTCAAACTAAGACTTCCATGCAACTCCTAAACCCCTGAACTGATCTGGGTGATTTTTGGATATGTTGGTCACCCAGATCAGGGCTATCAGGGGATATATTGTTTGTGGGGATACCATATGCCTAAAGGGGTGTTCTGAATATTGGGGATAATTTTAATTTTTCTGCCTGGAGATAATAAAGTTATTACTTTATCAGACTTGATTATCTCCAGGACTAGGGGAGGGAATTGTATGTTTGTGCTGGAAGTGTTTTACGTTTTTCCTGTAAATGATTGGTTGCACTGTGTCCCTCCCTGTGGGATGTCCCCTTGCATGGGGACTTGCATAAAAGCCAGTGGGTGGTCATTAAAAGCGAGCTCTGTTGCACCCTTCTTCTAGACTTCGGCTGATGTTTGGGGATTTGTATGCTTTATTAAGGGAATCATCTTCTAAAGCTATTGTACATTTATGAGAATTTTATGAATTTTGGGGAAAATTTGTTTTTTTCTGCCTGGAGATAATTGAGTTATTACAGTATCTGACTCAATTATCTCCCAGGCAGTGAGGAGGGATTGTATGTTTACTATGGGAGTGTTATACTTTGTAACCATGTTGTGATTGGTGTATAACTTTGTGTTGGAGTCCCCAACAAGGTCCATGTGGGAGTACCCCTTGCATAAACGCCAGTGTGACACCCATTAAAATCATTCCTGTTACACCCTTCATTTAGTTTCGGCTGATGTTTGGGTACCTGTCTACTTTACTAAGAGAATACACTTGGGAGACTGCCATTCGTATGGGGAATCGTTTGACTCAACACCCGAGCTTTAATCACTCAGGCTCAGGCAGTTCGGGCGAAAATAGGTGAACGGGTATCTACTATACCAGCGTTCGTTACAGGGAGTCCCTAAGTAAATGCACTCAAGCAAAAACAGAATATGAGACCTACTTTGTCTTATGCATTTTTCCTATGCTTGACAAAAGGCAGATCTACCTCTGCCAAGTTCTGTCATTTTCCCCAGCCATCACTATTGACGGCTGTAGGGAAAAAGGCACTGTCTATGGCGCCAGAGTATAACACTTATGTTGGTTCCAGGCAGATAAAGCACCAGCACTGAAGAGGATCCAATGCAGATGGGATGCAGCTGCAAGGGACAGTTTCAGGTAAGTAAAACTTACTTTTCAGTTAACCACACAGCCACCAAGTAGCAGTGACACCACAAACAAACAAAAAGTGCAACTGAGGGAGCGCAATGTGGAAGGGAGGGTATTTTATGCACATTATTGACAGGGCAGCCCAGAACATTTCAGGAAAATATAGTGCTCTGGAATTTCCCAATACAGTCACTGAAAATGTCCATAGAGAAATTTAAAAAGCTTTGACAAATGATCTTTTGAAAAACTTAGCCAAAATAATTAAATCTAGGCCATAAGTGTATGTGTGCCTGCATATCAGCAAAAAGATTATAAACTAACAATCCATAGTTCAGAAAAATACCTTAATCCCATTGTTATGGATCTACAAATCTATGTATACATAATGAACATCTTTGATTTAAAGGGACACTAAAGTAACCAGAACAACTACAGCTTATTGTATTTGTTCTGGTGAGTGGAATCATTCGCTTCAAGTTTTTTGCTGTAAACACTGTCTTTTCAGAGAAAAATGCAGTGTTTACATTACAGCCTCACATTTAGAAATTGAGAAAGCCGACCGGAATCGGCGAAACGCATTTTGGACACACCACCACTGTGTATGTATTCTATTGATTTTTGAACGGAATAAATACGATTTTTAATTGAAAACATACCATCTATCCTGCTATAAGAAGGGCAGAGTCACCCTAAAACAGGACTCATATACCCATATACTTTTTAAGGTGAGAAGCAAACTTTATATTTTTGCATTGTACCATACTTGATTAATGATTTCTGCACCAGGGCAAGCTTCCCTGTCTCCCTTCCCCTCTTTTTTGTTTGCATGTTTCTGAGGAATATCCTACACTTGGATCCATAGGGTGTGTGCCACCTCAAGTGCATAACAGCGCAAGTGATTAGAGCCAGTCCATAATAGGCTCCAAACCACGTGAGTGCTTCCAATTTAAGTAAACACCTCCACTCAAAGTTTAAAAGTGTCACACTATATATCCTCCTTTTTTAAACAGTCATCTGCATAATTCTGTCATCCCTATAACAATTTGGGAGTAGGTAATTAACTTTCCAGCGCTACACACTTTCACTATTTTGACACCTGTTTGTTAAATAGTGTTTTTTCTTTTGTAACATTACAGCCTAGTGATACCTCTACTGGCCACTCCTCAGATGGCTACTAGAGGTGCTTCCTGGGGCAGTCCTGCCTAGTATGCATCACAACATTCAGTGTCTCCACCCTCTGCATTCAGACACTAAAAACTTTCCTCATAGAGATGCATTGATTCAATTCATCTCTATGAGATGCTGATTGGCCAGGGCTGATTGCCCAAGTGTTTGACTTGTGCTGGCTCTGCCCCTGATCTGCCTCCTTGACAGTCTCAGCCAATCCTATGGGGAAGCATTGTGATTGGCTCAGACCACCACTTCTGATGATGTCAGAGGCAGCTCTGCAAGTAAGATTTTATTTAGGGAGGCAAGAGTGGGCCAATGGGGCTAGATGGTAGTTTTAACACTATAGGGTCAGGAATACATGTTTGTGTTCCTGACCCTATAGTGTTCCTTTAAATTTTTCTTCAACTATAAGTGATTAACCTATTAAACTGGAGATAGCTCACCTTGCAATAATTGTATAATAATCTATGTATTTTGAATGGTATATAACAATCAGTTTTTATATAACTGTTTAAATATTCTGAAATTATCTTTCTAAAATGCTATATTTAACTGGTTGAAAATATTAAAGATTAAAACAACCAGCAAAAATGAGTTCTTACATTTAAATTCATGATATAAATCGTTTCTTAAAGACAGATTTAAAGCATGATTTCATTCAAACTCAACCTGGTGTGAACTATAAGTTTCCACACTCGATTTGCTGCTTTCTCTCACTACCTGAAGCAGCTACTTGTGCACTATTGGTTGAAGAATAAGGGGTATAGTGTCTAAACGATTGATACCATAGCTCTAAAATAACACAATGGCTAGAAACCTGACTAATCCTTCGAGTATAACAATATCGTCTTATGTTTTTTTTGTTTGTTTTTTTTCTCTTAAATCTTACCTGTTTTTTATGCTCTCCAAGCTAACCATCATACCAAGTTCATTTCGCATTATTTCACAGTGGGTTGGATCTTCGCTTAAATATGAAATTGTCTAAGTTTAAAAACATAAAAAGTAAATATGTAATTAATTTAGGAAGTAGATAAATGCTGACCAAGTTCAAATCTAACACCATTTAATGTGGAAATGTGCTATGTAGTGGTTGTATTTGTGTATTACATAGTTACATAGCTGAAAAGAGACTTGCGTCCATCAAGTTCAGACTTCCTCGCATATGTTTTTGCTGTTGATCCAAAAGAAGGCAAACAACCTAGTCTGAAGCGCTTCCAATTTTGCAACAAACTAGGAAAAAAATTCCTTCTTGACCCCAAAATAGCAGTCAGATGTCTCCTTGGATCAAGCAGCTATTACCCCACTAATTAGAAATGATATCCCTGTATGTTATGTTTTTGCAAGTATTTATCCAATTTTAGTTTAAACATCTGTATTGACTCTGATAAAACCACCTCTTCAGGCAGAGAATTCCATATCCTTATTAAAAAGAAACACTATAGAAATAGGAATAGAAATCTGTATGACTAAAACTCTTTACCTACATTTATTCAAGTTGCCCCTCATAAAAGATGCATAAAAATGTTAAAAAAATAAATAAAAATGTAAGTTTTACATAACTTTTTCCAGCTCCCTCTGTGCTGCTTACCTCCTAAAGCGCATCTGGAACAAAATGCACATGCAAGTGCTATGCTTTCCTATGGTGACTTTCACGTCACATTACCTAGTATTACTCTGTCAACGTAGCAGAACTAACTCTAGTGGCTGTTATACTGACAGCTACCAGGGGTGGAATTATCCCTGCCATGCAAATGTCGCAGTTTCTAAAAAAAAATCAAAAAAAAACAGGAAGCACCTCTAGTGGCTGTCTGACGAGAGGCTACTGGATGTGTCCCTAGGCAGCAACATAAGCAATGTTTGCAATAAAAAGTCAATAGGCTGTAGTTTTCTGGTGACTATAGTGTGCCTTTAACCATTTCATCAACAGACCAGTTAAAAGTGCGGAGTATATTTAATATGTTTGTGTTTTTCACAGTTAATATCACAAACCATATATGTCCAACTAATATAAATTCCCCAATTTTTTTATTCTTCTGTTGCTGCTAAGTGCAGCAGTCCACTCTCGTGTAGACTGCCATATTGTTGGCAAGCTACTGAGTAAAATTACATGCCTGCCAATTACAAATTTCAAGTTTCCAATTTTCACTGGTTGCTTTACAGGAACCAGGTAACTTTTGGGAACATATAGCAACCCCAAATACCCAAATCATAGCATTCCATTTGCAAAAGGCAACAACTTAATATGAGAAGTTTGAGTCGTACCAGGGTGATTCATAGCTAAAAAGGTACTTTTAATTATTTTCACATGCATATTGGATATTAAAGACACACTTTAGGCACCCAGACAACATCAGCTCATTGAAGTGGTCTGAGTGCAGTGTCCCTATTGCACTTAGTATTTACATTGCAGCTCTAAGTCTGCCTCCAATTACAGTCTTCCAGACAGCCACTGGAGGCACTTCTTGTATCCTAATGGACCTTGGACATCCTCAGGCTCTGCATGAGGACATCCAGCATCAGATTTTTGTCCCCATAGGAAAGCATTGATTCCTGCTCGTTGCTGGACTTCGGAGGAGGCATAGCCAAGACCCAGCACCGAGAGACATCGGCGCTGGGATCTTTATTCAACGGAAGGGTGGGCGCAAGTGAGGGGGGAGGCAGAGGGCTTATAGTGGCAGGAATACAGCTATGTATTCCTGGCACTTATAGTATGCCTTTAATGGTAAATTTTACAAGTCTTGTGTGCTCTATTATTTAACCCCTTAAGGACACATGACATGTGTGACATGCCATGATTCCATTTTATTCCAGAAGTTTGGTCCTTAAGGGGTTAAAGGACCACACATTTCTATTCTGCTTTATCTCTAGATTATGGCCATGCCCCATATGTATAACTTTGCCAGGTTTTAGAGGAATTTATAGGGCCACATAAGAGACATGCACTTATATTGACATGCATTTTTCCTAGATGTGCTAGTTGAAGATTATCTGTATCACCATACTGACCAGTGTACAACTTTGACACCATTTCTAACTCTCCCTTTATAACAAAAATAAAATAAAAATAACAACACTATAAACACCCAGACCACTTCAGTGAGATTAAGTGGTTTGGGTGCCATTTTCCTGTAGTTGTAATTCTGCAAGTAAAAACATATTTGTCCAAGTGACCAAAGTTGTTGCCCAATCTAATTCTCCAAATCTACTAGACGTGAAACAAAATAATTAAAATTTACAAAGATTGGGGCAACTGCCAAGAGTCCTGGAAAAATTCTCAAACTCTGCTATACACTGATCATTAAAACTACTGTGTGATTAAATAATAATGGATAATATTGCTACAAAAATAAAGGGGGTGGGGGGGGGGGTGTATTAGGCAGAAAGTAAACAGTTCTTGAATTTCATGTGTTTGAAGCAGGAAAAATGGGCAAGTGAAACGATCTGAGTGAATTTGACAAGAGACAAATAGTGATGACTAGACGACTGGGTCAGAGAATTTCCAAAATGGCAAGTCTTGTAAGGTGTAGCCAGCATTCAATGAGGACATGAGCATCAGAACTGGATCATGGCACAATGGAAGAAGATTGATTGGTCCAATGAATCAAGTTTTATTTTAGATCAGGTGGATAGTCGGGTGCATATGTGTCGATTAGCTGGGGAACAGATAGCAACAGGGTGCACTATGGACTAATGTACTGTCATTCATGTGGATGTTACTTTGACACTAACCATTTACCTAGAGATTGTTGCTGACAACTTACACGCCTTCATTGCATTGGTGTTCTCTGATAACAGTGGTCTCTTTAAGCACGATAATGCACCCAGCCACACTACAAAGATTGTTCAGGAATGGTTTGAGGAACTTGTCAAAGAGTTCAGGGTGTTGCCTTGGTTTCCATGTTCCCCAGACATCCATCCAATTGAGCATCTGTGCGATGTGCTGGAACAACAAATCCCTACTTCTAAGGACTTGGTACAAGATACCATAGAACTTGTGGAGTCCATAACTCAACGTGTCAGAGCTGTTTTGGCAGTACGATGGCACTGAGCTTAGCCATGGGGTGCAGGGTTAGCTTATTGGTGGAGAATGATCAGCTGGCGTTCCCAGTCTATGATCTAGCCTTGCACTGTAAGCTATCTCAGAATAACGAACAGAAGCTCCCAAGCAGGAGTTTTCTGTTCTCTTTTAGATAAAGTGGAGGTAGGGAGTGGCACCTAGTCAAGTCAAGCTGTTCTAAAATTGTTTAATTATTGACAATATGAGTATGGGGGGAATCTGTTAGCAGTATATGAATAATAAATAGTTCATAAGCATAACAGAGCGCTGCAGCATTATCGTGCTTTTAGTGTTGCCTTAAAGGATCACTATAGGGTCAGAAACACAAACATGTATTCCTGACCCTATAGTGTTAACACCACCATCTAGCCCCCCATGGCTCCTCATGCCTCCATAAATATATTAAAAATCTTACTGTATTCAAACCAGAAGCTGTAACTCTGCATGCTTTGCCTAAAAAAAAAAAAAAAAAAAACCAAGCAGCCTGCTGACATCATCAGAAGTGGTACCCTGATCCAATCACAATGCTTCCCCATAGGATTGGCTGAGACTGACCAAGAAGCAGATCAGGGGCAGAGCCAGCCCTGGCCAATCAGCATGTCCTCATCGAGATGAATTGAATCAATTAATCTCTATGAGGAAAGTTCAGTGTCTGCATGCAGATGGAGGAGATACCGAATGTTTGGATGCATTTTAGGCAGCCATGACCCAGGAAGGATCTCTAACAGCTATCTGAGGAGTGGCCAGTGAAGTTATCACTAGGCTTTAATGTAAACATTGCATTTTCTCTGAAAAGAGAGTATTTACAACAAAAAGCCTGAAGGTAATGATTCTATTAACCAGAACAATTTCAATAAGCTGTAGTTGTTCTGGTGACTATAGTGTCCCTTTAAGATTTGGTTCTGAACAAAGGTTTCACCTTCGGAAGCAAAGGGCTATAGTGAAACACTGTACAATAAGACTCCAAGCACCATGACCAACTCAATCATTCGAGAAACCCCTTAACCTCCCTGGTGGTCTGATTATGTCAGTATTTTTGAATGTTAAAGTGGTACATTGTTTTGTATGTAAATTTGTAGGCTTGTTATTCTTAGGAATAAATAAAAGCACAGGCAGGACACTGGACAAAGCACTGGGACAAAACTGAGGTGAAAAGGTTTGATACCGAAATGTAATCATATCAGATTACACTGTATCACAATGTATTACTATGTATTATGTGGATTTGTAATTTTTTTTTTTCCGCCTGTCAGGCGGTGCTCGCAAAGAAAGGGAACTCGGAAGACGGATGCCAGCATCGGGCAGAGGACACTGCGGGAGGACACCACGGGCTCATAGGGACAAGGTAAGTGATACTACAGTATAATCCCGAGCGTGGCTCAGGGATACTGCTTTTGGTACTGAAAATTAACCCCGAGCCACGCTCGGGATTATCGCCAGGGAGGTTAAGGACATAAGGAAAAACTTCCTTTTCACAGAAGATGCAGTGTTAAAGCAAAGGGTGCAGGGTCTCTTTAATTGATGGTTATTGCCAATAACTAAGTACCAGTTCATTATAATTGAGCACAATATCATCTGTGACATGTTTCATTACCACTCACCTTTAGTGCAGACTCAACCACACATGCTTCACGATGGTCAAGAAACAGAATGAGACCTGCAAGGCAGCTCTTATCTCTCATAATACTTGCTCTATTCTGAGGGTCTGAAGCAAGATTCCTCAAATGGTTCACAACAGACATAGCCTCCATCTTAAATAAAATCAACCTATAAAGAAACAACACAGGACATTTCACATCCAACTATATATAGTAGATATCAGTAAAGTTTTAGCTTCACCTGCCAGTAACAGTGTTGCATTAACTGATTTAACTGTTTCATGAGGCCCTTGGGCAGGGCTCGATAAATCCCAGTTGCCAGGTCGCCATGGCGCCTAGGAATTTTGCCTTGGCGCGTGGGATATGCAAGCCCCTTACCTCCGAGGCGGGCGGCTGTCGGCAAGCTGGGGGATTATGGAGGCGGACAGCATGCTGGGAGGTCGTGAAAACGGGTGGCTGGCTGCGCAAATAGAAGTATGGCGGCAAGGAAGCTGTGTTGTCACTTTCTCTGCTCCCCTGCGCACTGCTTAATGAGACCGGGACCGGGATATGACATCATATTCTGGCCCCAGCCTCACTAAGGGGTGCAGAGCGAGGAACATCACAGCTCTATCGCCGTCGGCAACAATATGCGCAGCCAGCCGCCAACTTCCATGACCACCCAACATGCCATCCATAATCCCCAGGCATTCCGCCCACCTGCACAATCCACCAGTCGGTCGCCCACTGGACCCCCAAAAGGTATTAAAGGACCACTATAGTGCCAGGAAAACAAACTCGTTTTCCTGGCACTATAGTATGAATAGGTCCCCCCCACCCTCATGGCCCCCCTCCCACCGGGCTGAAGGGGGAGGAACGTGTTCCCTCGGCACTGGGGACTCTCCTCCTCCTTCGGCTGAATGCGCATGCGCGGCATGAGCCGCAGCGTGCGCAGTCAGTCCATAGGAAAGCATTCTCAATGCTTTCCTATGGACGCTGGTGTCTTCTTACTGTGAAAATCACAGGGAGAAGCACCTCTAGCAGCTGTCAATGAGACAGCCACTAGAGGCTGGATTAACCCATATGTAAACGTTTACAGCTGCAGGGTTAAACCTAGATGGACCAGGCACCCAGACCACTTCATTAAGCTGAAGTGGTCTGGGTGCCTATAGTGGTCCTTTAAATCAAGCAATAATGTGTGAGTGTATGGGTCTGTCCCTCATGTGTGTGTGTTTGTTTAGGTGACGACCCCTTCTGTTCGTAAGGAAATGGTGGTTTTACTCACTTTTTTTTCCTACGCGGTGCTGGTCTTACCTCGACTGGCCCTGCCTCTATGGCTGAATTATCAAGCTTGATCTCAGCCAATCCAATGTTTTCCCGTAGGATTGGCTGCAAAACGCTGCACCAACCAGGATCTCCTCATAGAGATGAATTGAATCAATGTATCTCTATGGGGGAAGTTCAGCACCTCCATGCAGAGCATATTGTCCTCCCCATAGGAAAGCATTGAAGCAATGCAGAGTGAGAGGACGTCCAAATGTCGTTACACTGGGCCAAACGCCGAAACTCCAGGAAGTGCCTATAGTGTCTATTTGATTGACAGCCACTAGAGGAAGTCTTGGTCCTGCAATGTAATCATTTTATGTGTCTAAAAAAACATTGTATCTACATTGCAGGACTGACATGGACACTGCACCCAGACTGCTTCAATGACATGATCTGGGTGTCTATAGTGTCCGGTAAGGTGACAGTTGCCCTTTCAGGGGTGTTAGGAGAGACAGAGCAGGGTATGAGTGGTTGGGACTTGGGAGAGAGACAGACGAGGCTGGGTGGGTAAAATAATAATGTACAATTCTGAGAGGGTGACAATTTAATACCCGGTCTCACACACAGAGCTCGCTCTACCTCTGCTCCAGTGACGCAGTCCGTGTCAGAGCGGCCGTTATATCGCTCCCGTGTCCTGGCGGTCCGGCGCGAGGGCTCTCCACACAGTGCGCTCCTTGTCCACAATTCACCGGTCAGTACACGCTGACAGGCTGGATGGAGCCCGACCGATACCGCAGCAACGTCTACACACTGCGTATGATTGGCTGAGCAGCGCAGGCAAAACAAAACCGACCAATCAGAGTGTAGTGTGCGTTCTCGCGGGGCTGAGTTTGAATGTGTCTCGTGCATCTCTCAGATTAGTACTTCCTCATACAGTGCATCCTTCCAGCCAACCGTCCTGCACGAGCCGTGTACCCGCTGCTCTGACTGACTGCACCGCCAGGTAACCGCACACACAGCAACCGGGGGCAACCCTTCCTGCCCGCACTGCATGTACCCTGACTGACACAGACCGCCAACACTGCCCGCACTGCATGCACCCTGACTGACACAAACCGCCAACACTGCCCGCACTGCATGCACCCTGACTGACACAGACCGCCTGCACTGCCCGCACTGCATGCACCCTGACGGACACAGACCGCCTGCACCCTGACGGACACAGACCGCCTGCACCCTGACGGACACAGACCGCCTGCACCCTGACGGACACAGACCGCCTGCACCCTGACGGAGACAGACCGCCTGCACCCTGACGGAGACAGACCGCCTGCACCCTGACGGAGACAGACCGCCTGCACCCTGACGGAGACAGACCGCCTGCACCCTGACGGAGACAGACCGCCTGCACCCTGACGGAGACAGACCGCCTGCACCCTGACGGAGACAGACCGCCTGCACCCTGACGGAGACAGACCGCCTGCACCCTGACGGAGACAGACCGCCTGCACTGCATGCACCCTGACGGACACAGACCGCCCGCACTGCTCAGACACTGCGGTGTGCTTTCAGCCAACCTGAGCTACAGGCATCACACAGCATTTTCAAAGGGGGGGGTTGGGCACCTATATAGTGATTTGTAACACTCTAGTGTCAGGAATACATGTTTGTGTTCCTTTTAATATTATGTTTTGTAAGGTGGATGTTATAAAGATTTACAGCACCTCAGTATCAGATGGTTGGTTACTCCAATATCCATGACCATTTCTTTTTTTAGAAGTGGTCATGGTGCAAGGAATCCTCTGTATGTGCATTTCATTTGATATGCTGCTCATGCAGAGCTATTTGCACTTCTGTATAGAAAGCATGCCTCTGATCAGACAGATGTAATGAGCTTTAAAAAAAAACAAAAAAAAAACATGCAGCAAGGGTATGGCTAGATTTACTCTCCCTCCATTGGTGTGCCCCCTCCCTGCATTTACAGCTATTTGTTTTGTTTTTAAATAATTCTCTCCCTTTTTTGTTCATCCACTCCCGGTTCAGAACATGCTCATGCACTCTGAGTCTGGTAATTAGTCCAGTCAAATGTTTTCTGTGAGAAACATTTGTTTGGAATATGGAGAGGGAAGAAATGATGTAGCATGATGATTGAACGGGCATGGAAAAACCTTGCCCAGCATTCTTTTTATGTAAGTTTTTTTTTTTTTTTTTTTTTTTTTATTCTTCTTTTACAGGTTTTTCGTATAAAGGGGGTGGACATGCTGTTAGTGCCCAATAGGGCATTAGAAAGTAAAATAGATTTTATTGTACAAAAAAGGAATGGAGAGGGGTCGGAGCTAGCAAGTGAACAGAGCAGACGCATTCTCTTAGCTCTGTCTCTAAACCGGTGAAAATCGCAATCGATATACTGGGCTGCAAAACAAAAAAATCAAGAGCCGATAAACTCCTTACCAGCATGGATATTATTATTATTAATATAGCGCCAACAAATTCTGTAGCGCTGTACTATGGTAAGAGATATGGTTTGGAGTTCACCCAAGGTCACATGGGACAAGATGACACTGGCAGGTGACTCTTACTCCTCATTGGAATTTACTATCGATCCTAATGAGGCGGCATCACCTGACTTACCAACAGAGCATAAAGCAGAACCCTCAAAAAAACGGGGACCCGGTAACTGCGGACCTGCTCAAATGGATGCTGGTAGAACATTGTTTCCTCTAAAATTCCACTGTTCGAGCTTCCGCGAGCACCGAAGAAATCAGACTTGCTGTAGTTGGACAATGGCTGACTTCTAGTGAAAGCTACTCACTACAACGGACAGTCTGAACACAATATAGAAGCAGCGGAGACAACACAACCTAAAGATTAGGGGCTTTACCGGGTCTGTGGGTCTCGCTGACTTACCCCACTTCATCAGACGCCTGTTTGCTATCCTGATGCCGACTAAACAGGCAAAATTCATGAGGCTAGATGGAATGTTTCGGCTGTCAAAACAGGCAAAGTGACCAGTAACAGCAACTACAGACCTCATTCTCTGCTTTCAGTTTCTCCAGAATAGGGCCTTGCTGCTCTCTGGTGGAAAACTATTGCTATTTGAGAGCTCCTTGCTGTCGATATTCCTAGACCTTACGAAGAGCACTCTTACATGGCATAAGGCTGTGCAACCCTCGGCAACACCTTTGCATATAGATGGGAGACTCCACTACCTCTCTTCATCCACAGAGGGACTACCTTCTGAGTGCGTATCTCTCAGGAGCTAAAATCGCAACTATGCACCTCAGGACACCCCAACATCAGCCTGAACAGGCCTGTCCCAGCTGGACCTAGCCACCATGCGGGAGTTTACGCCCTGAGCATCTCGGCAAGCTTTACCTGACAAAGCCCCAAGCTGAGGGACTGTGTCCAGAGACGAGGTGTCGCTTGTTCCTCTAGAGGATCCACTTGCCACCAATGCTTACTGTTATGACTAACCACTCTTCCTACTTTTAAACTTTTCATGTTGATTGCCATGATACCAGTTTAGTTATTAAGGGCCAGGCATATTGTTCCATTCTCAATATTCGTGTATAATAGCCGAGTTACACCGGTCACTAGTCACACTCACCTAGCTAAACAATTTACATATATATTTTTTTTATGGCATTTCACTGCTTGTCCCTTAACCTCACCAGCTCCCTGGCAACTTCATCTTGGTTACCACTTAGTCTCCTGGTAGGGGGGTGCATCCCTTAGTGGGCATGATGGATTTTACTTATCTGAACCTGTCCTCAAATGCCACCATCTTGTTCCACCGCACCCTCTTCAGCTCCTGGCGCTTCAGCTGCCCGGAGCTGATGCCAGCACTGTATTCTCACGTATGCGCGCACTGTGTATAGCACTGAGGTCTATGGAGGAGACCACGGGTCCCTCCATAGACCGCTTTTTCACTACAGCTGTTATTGACAAGCTTGACAAAAGGTAGCTGCGAAAAATACTGAGACAAAGTAGTCTCAATTTTGTCTTTCTATATATCTATTGATTGAGTTGGCATTAAAGGAGCACTATAGGGTCAGGAACCCATGACTCTATAGGGTTAAAACCGCCATCTAGCCACCCTGGTCCCATCATTCCTCCCTAAATATAGTAAAATCTTACTTGTATTTAAGTCTGGAGCTGCTTGCTTTGTCACTGTTTTTCTTTGACCTGCCTGCGGACTTCAGCCTGCCTGCGGACAGGTAGCCTGATCCAATCACAATGCTTCCCCTTAGTATTAGCTGAGAGTGACAAAGAGGCAGATCAGGGGCAGAGCCAGCACAATTCAAACACGGCCCTGGCCAATCAGCATCTCCTCATAGAGATGAATTGAATCAATGCATCTCTATGAGGAAAGTTCAGTGTCTGCATGCAGAGGGTGGAGACACTGAATGTTTGGACGCATTTTAGGCAACCATGACCCAGGAAGGATCTCTAACAGCCATCTGAGGAGTTGCCAGTGAAGTTATCACTAGGCTGTAATGTAAAGACAGTGTTTACAGCAAAAAAAGCCTGAAGGTAATGATTCTACTCACCAGAACAAATTCAATAAGCTGTAGTTGTTCTGGTGACTATAGTGTGCCTTTAAAATCCCAACACAGTCAATGTGCGTTTCATAAAGATTCTATTTTTATGAAATACTAATGTTGGAGTAGGGGGGGAGGATGGGATGACCATTGATTTAAATGAAGCCTTACTAACTAGTAATTGAAAACATATCCACCATGTTTTGTAATTCTCTAATCTTTCTATGTATATAATAAACCTATTCTATCCTTTCAGGGCTCCCTACTATGTATAATCACATTTTTTCCATTGATTTTCAGATGACCGAATGCTTAGAATGTGTGCAATCTGAAGTAATCTAGTGTTCTCTGCATTGAATCATCTGAGGCTTCTAAATGTCTTTGCTTTTGGATCTTATAAGACAGCTTTTGGAATATCTGGGAATACCAGGTGATCAGGTAAGCAAACTGCTCACTGTTCACATTTCATCATTGAAAAATGCAAGGGTCACTATAGTGTCAGGAAAACAAAGCGGTTTTCCTGACACTATAGTGCCCGGTCCCCCTCCCATGACGCTGAAGGGGTTAAAACTCCTTCAGCCACTTAACTTAATCCAACGCCGGGCTCCCTCGGCGCTGGTGACATCTCTCCTCCCTGTCCGACGTCATTGCAGCCGAATGCACATGCGCGGCAGATGCGCCTCTAGTGGCTGTCTGGAAGACAGCCACTAGAGGCTGGATTAACACCAAATGTAAATATAGCAGTTTCTCTGAAACTGTTATGTTTACATATGAAGGGTTAAAACCTGAGGGACATGGCACCCAGACCACTTCATTGAGTGTCCCTTTAAATAATTTTTGATCTCCCCACCGGCCGTGCCAAACCTCTCATGCTTGCCACCTGTAGGCCACGGACTCTGTAGCCTTCTGCTAAATTCTACCCTGGCTGTGCTGATTTATGCTCTGTGATCAGAATAGGGTTGCCACCTTCCTTGGAAAATACAGGCTATACTAATTTGCACGATTAATTATATATTCGTGACATCACCAGATGTTATGCAACATCACAGGGAGTGACATAAGAGAGAGAGAGGAAAAAAAACATTTGGAATGGGAAAATTGCTCGAATCACTAAAACAAAAAACTACTACTCGCTATGTTCTATGTCTGACTGTGTGTGTGTGTGTGTAGATGGTTTTTGAGTGATTGTGTGTAGCCATGTAGTTAGCAGTTTGTGTCAATGTATATGGTATTTAAATGTGTGCAGTATTGTGTGTGTGTGTGTGTGTGTGTGTGTGTGTATGCATGC